TAAATATAATTAAATATATAAAAGGTCTCACCTCTCTCTCTCTCTCTCTCTCTCTCTCTCCCTCCCTCTCGCTCTCTCTTTCAAAAATACACACACATACACTTCCTGAAAATAAAAAACGCACAACCTCATCCCAGTCTTCTCCCTCTCCTTAAAAATCTTTCTCTCTCAGCTTGAAGGAAAGATCGTCGGTAACCTTTTGACATCAACGTCATCTTTAGACGAAAGGGTGTTTCAAGGGGTTTCGTTCTTGGGTTTAAGGGGTTTCAAGATCTGTATTTGTAAACCCAGTTAAAGAAGACGAAAGGGGTTTCACTATAAACCTCAATTCACTACCTGACCATAAGACGTTCCCAACACCACCCCATTACTTTACTTGTTGTCTTTAGATCTCTGAAATCCAACATGTGTCGAAATTAGAGCTAAGGTGATCGACCAATTCTACATCATGTATCAATAATCTCTTTCAAGATTCACGATTGTCAACAGATTTTGGTAATTATGATTTGATATTCGTTTATTATGCGTTTGTATTTTGCAATGGAAGAAGAAGAGAATCAGGAGGTTGAAGAAGAAGAGAATCAGGAGGTTGAGGAGGAAGGGATCGATCTAAAAGTTGGGATCAATCTGAATCGATTTGATACTACTTTAAATCTATTGAAAAGATTTAGTTAATATCGGAAGGGGTCGATCTGAAAATTGGGATCAAGTACACTGATACTAAGCTTGAATATTTTATTATTGCTGTTCTGATTGATCTTTTGAACACATATGAGAACCTGATTTTTTTTCTTTTGGTTTTGTGGTTTTTGTTTTTTTGAGTTTTTGATTAGATTAATGGTGATTATTGTTGAAATTGAAACCGGGTGCAGACAAGGAATAGAGGAGAGCAAAAATAGAGGTGCTAAACCTGGATTTGTGTATGATCTGTTTGGGTGTTGTAAATACAATTTTTCATATGGGTTCCATTCTAAACCTTTGAACTCCCTAGGTCAATGTGTATATGGGTTTGTGTATGATCTGTTTGTGTTTTGTAATCTGGGTCGAACTTCCAGACAATGTTGTGAACAAAGCAAATCAATGATAGTGTTGGACTGATTGGCGAGGATGTGAAGACGATGAACAGAGTATGTAAGTTTCTTTGTGTGCATGTATATGTCCAGAGAGAGAGAGAGATAGAAAGAGAGAGAGGTGAGACCTTTTATATATTTAATTATATTTAATTTTTTCTTTTAGAAAAAAAATACGAGAAAACATCATAAATGATCCCTATGGTAGTGAAATGACAAAAATGCCCTTCAGTTAACATACAAAACTTAACGGAGTTACCAATAAGGACCAATCGTTAAAAGTTTTGAAAGCACAGAGACCATCTATGATGTTTTTAAACCACGGGAACTAAACTTCAGATTTAGGGAAACCACATGGACCATTTATGATGTTTTTTCTTATTTTTATTAAATCATAATCTAAATAAATATATAATATTTTTCATGCATATAAATATAAAACATGTCTTTTAAAAATAAATAAGTAAATATTATAATCATTACTGATGATATTTTTTTAAATATAATTTTTTATATATATATTTTGTAGGTATGATTAACATTAATATTGATGTTTCGTTATTATTTATGTTTTTTTTATCTTATTTCAAAAAAGAAAAATTTTAATATTTAAAAACAACTTGATAAATTAAATTAGTGTAATATTATCATAAAAGTTATTATTATAGCCATTTAGTAAGTCGGTGTAGTATCCATATAAATTTTAATAATAGTACTGTCAAATCATTTCATATATTTTAGGGTCCAATTTGAGATAAATGCTAATATATATTGTAATCATTTGGATGTACTAATTGAGAGTCCCACGTTGCAAGTTGGCCTTGCATACACCCCAAGATTATCATCAAACTAATTAATAATTAAGGTGTTTCCTAAGAACAATGTATTTCTCGTGGTCACGAAAACCAAAATATTCAACTACTTTTAGGCTTTATTTCCTCCATAACCTAAACATTTTCTTCTCAAATCTTGCAATGTCAATGGTTTCCTTCGCTATGTCTCACTTTTCTTCCACATTGAGCTTCAATTTCCCCACCCATCACACCAATTTTTCACGATATACCAAATCTTTCACCATCACAACTTCAGCTTCTTTGGATTATTCAACGGATAAATCCACAGTCTCATTAAAGGTTAGAACGGAATTAATCTATCTCCTCCTATTGATAGGGAATCAAAGTATTAAACGCTTGAATGTTTGTTATAATGTTATTGATGTTCAACATATATTTGATATTTAGATGATAACTTTTTATAACCTTTTTTTTTAAGCAGCAAGCAATAATATTCAGTGGCCAACTAAAGAGATGGTAGAGGGCAAAAAGAAAGAGATGGTAGAGGACAAAAAAGAAAGAAAGAAACAAAGTCTTACCCCATAGGGTTTACACACAACTTCTAGTAACGAGATGTTTAGATGATAACT